AGTCAGCAGGAGCATTTGTCTTCATGTCTGCCATGAAACTTGGTAAATTATCTGGATCTCTCCAAGAGTCAATACAAATTAAAAATACGCACAAGGTTTCTAAGAGAGTGATTGCTATTCCTGCAAGTTCATTAGCCTTCTGAGGAATGCTGTTGGCAGGCTTTGTTTAGCAGAGGTCCAAAGCAAAGTAAACCAAAAATGTCAGAAAATGAATTGCAAATCAATTGGCAATATAAATGTGAGAAATAAGATGAGGATGATGAATAATTTAGGGACATGTATATTGTTCCTCCAGGAATCTTAACTGCACAAAGGGGAATGATACTGAAGATTACAGCAGAGAAAGGGAATACCTTGATTAAATGAATATGAGCCATCCAGTTGCATTGGCAAAACCAGACTCCAGGCACTGTTTAACAAAAACTTTAGTTTGTGCAAAAAAAAAAAAAAAGGAGTTCTGCAGTGAAGCCTTTTTTCCCTAGCTCACTGCACCTATTCACATCAGACAATTTGACTGAATTTGTGGCTCTTGCTGTCTTTCCATAGGAAGTAATTTTTTTCCCTGCAGATGCTTTGTTTAAGATTTGTGGCTCTTGCTGTCTTTCCATGGGAAGTAATTTTTTTTCCCTGCAGATGCTTTGTTTAAAAAAGGAAAAAATGGGAAAAAAAAATGGAAAAAAAAGGAAAAAAATAGTAGGGAGTTTGGAACCAGATGACGATCTTTAAGGTCCATTCCAACCCAAACCATTCTATGATTCTATGATTCTATTTCCTTAGTATTTTCAGTCTGTACTCTGAAAAAATAGCATGCTAAAAATTAATTTTTTACTCTAATTTTGTGGGAATAAGTTGAAGGCCAAGAATTAAGTTTAAAGCAGAACATCAGTCTCCTAGCTGGAGAAGAGGCAATTATTTTCCAGCCCCTTCCCTAGGAAAGGGAGGATGGCACAATTCAGTTAGCTCCAGGTGCAGTCACCTAGAGCATCCCTTGTCAGCTGCTGAAGGAAGGGAAGAGGCTGCTCCTCTCCAATTTAATCCAGGCTTTTTGACACATTTTACATGTCACTGCGACTGCATTGTTCCCATTATTTGAAGATTCATAACAGAAACAGAGCAAAGCATGAATTTTAACTCCCATAGCAGAACATAGAGGTAAATCCAGCAGGGAGGAGAGAAGGTTGCAGATGACACAGGCAAGGCTAATGTGCTCAGAGCCTTTTCTTCAGCCTTCACAGAAAGGTTAAATGTGACAAAAGATTTGACATGATCAGAATTAACAAGGGAACAGGAATGCAAGGGAGAATAGGGAAGCGACTGAGTATTTAGAGTCAGAAAAGTCAGATTTAAGGTCTGTTTACAAGGTTAAATGGCTGGGCAATATACTGGGATTTGAATTTATGGTATGTTATCTACTGTGCATTAACTCCCCATATGGAACATCCTAGCAAATAAGAGGATCTTTACATGAAGCAGCTTTTCCAGGTCAACAGGTCCTCATAGAGTTATCCCAGCATATTTAAAGATGCAGTTTCTAAACCAGCAGTGATTTGCTTTGAGAACTCCCAAAGGATATAAGTAGTCCCAATAAGCATGTACATGTCTTTAAATGAGGAAAAAAGCAAGGGAATGACAGCCAAAGATTCAGACTAAGTTGGTGTCTAGAGAGATACTAACATAAATTATTAAACAATCAATTTATAAGCTACTCAAACTCAGTAAGGGAAGCAGCCACTCTGTCCACAAAGAACAGATGTTTTTCACTTTAGGGAGACTTCTGATATGACTCAGACAGTCATGCCAGTAAGTATGATTCATAATAAATAAGTAAGGAGCAAGGCCTGTTTGAGAAAGCATTATCAAGGAATAATTTCATCAGTAGCCTGTAGGTCCTGATTTGTCTACTATTCACTACGTTCATTAATGTCTTAGACAACGAGATGTCACATTTTTGAACAATGTCGCACTTGGAGGCAGTGCAAACAGGCTTAGAATTAAAAATCATTTTGATAAATGGGTGAAACAGCTTGAAATCCATAAGACAAAATTAAGCAAAGACAATAAAGATGGTTCTTTCAGAGGAAAAATCAACTGTGTGAATGCCAAATGGGAAAGAAGTGATAAGGTGTCAGGACTGCGGGAAAGACTGAGTTGGTTGCAGAGCTGTCACAGAAAAATGTAAATCTCTTGCTGTAAGTGTATTAATCAGAGACAGGGGAGCCACACAGGGAGGCAGCTGCTGGGCACTGCACACACTGCAGCTCAGCTACAGCTTGTCAGGAAGGACATGGAGAAACTGGAGTTTAGACAAGCAACAGAGAACAGGGTTTGCAACTTGGTTGGTTTAACTCAGGAAAATGGGATAAAATCAGTCAGCAGAGACTCTAATTTTCTTCAAACATGTAAATGTTGTCACTGAAAGAACTGAGCTAATTTTCCCCTGTGCCCACCAAGGTTGCACCAAGAAGTATCAGTTTTACTCGCAACAGATTGGGTGTATGTTCAGTGTTAGGAGAAACAAAACTCTGTTCTAATAATGCAGTTAAATACTTTAACAATTACTTAGATAGATTGTGAGATTTCCATGACTCACAGATTTGGAGAAGAAGCTGATTAAAGTCTTGTCTGATAAATGAGCTCTTGGGAGGCCTATCATCCCAACTCTTTATAGAAATATGAGTATGTGTACAATGTACTATAATCCATGCTAGTAAATGAGCTTTGTATTTTAACATGCCTCCTAATTTTGATTTTTTGGAGGGGTAGCTCATTTACTTTCATATAACATAAGCTGTGTAATTTAAATTAGACACCATGAAATCCATAGTTTTAATTACTAACTTTGATTCCAGCTTTCAGCAAGGCTCATGGATTGAAGGAAACCTGTTAATTCCCTTTTATTCAGAACATTTCCTTCTTCACATCAAAGCAATGCACAGCCATATCAGTGCAGCCAATCAGTATTTCTGCAAAATAAGCCCTGAAACTGAAGAGTGCTTCAAACAGTCTTAAAAAATGTGAGATGAATCATTGCTAGAGAGACACGTGCACTTGCATGTGGCATGGATGACTTTGCATTTTGGACATACATAATATACAAAGTCTTTTCCTACCTTCTTTTTCTTTCAGGGTTGATTTAATGTGTAGTAGTTTATTGACATGAAAAGGGGAAGCTGAAATTTTAATTTAATATTTTCTGTTAAGTGCAATAGACTTTCACTTCATTTGTGAAATGACAAAGATCATACTTTGCACATTCACAACTAGAGTGATGCTCTAAACAATCCTGATAATCTTGGTCTGCTGGATCCAAAAGGACAACTCTTGTCCTAGCTGGGGAAATCTCCTGGATGCAAGCACCTGTAGACAATAATTCCATTTTATCTTGGCATATTCCTGCTTCCATTTGGACTTCTTCTGTTAATTAGTTGAGAAAATGTGCACCATAGTTTTCCTAGGCTACAGCCAACCTGTGTAATAGATTTTTTTTTATGTAGAGAACATTACAACACTTACTCATCTTATCTACATCAGCTTCATCTCAGTATTGATGTAGGAGCTGTAGTTAAGTATGATAATGTACTTGTTAAGAAAATCTATACAGAAGTTTAATTGTGATATTAAAATCTAATTATCATGAAGAGAATGAAGTGACTATCTGGATAGATTTTGATGCTTTCTCTTAATGTGTTATGTAGTTGAAATGAAAATATGTTGAATTTTGCCCCTAGCCTTTCAGTATGGACAAATGATAGGGCAATGAAGATTGGGCCAGTCAGGGCATTGGAGTGGAATAGTGTTTGAATTATGGGAAATGATCAGGGTTTAAAAATGTGTCCATGAACAACAGAACTGAATCAAATCAAATCATTCAGATTGGAAAGCCCTTTAAGACCATTAAGTCCAACCATTAACAGAGCAGTGCCAAGTCCACCACTAAACCTGGTTCAATGCTTGACCACCCTTTGGGTGAAGAAAATTTTCCCAATATCCAATCTAAGCCTCTCCTGGTGCAACTTGAGGCCATGTGCTGTTGTCCTATCATTTGTTACTTGTGAGAACAGCCAGCCCTCACCTCACTGCCACCTCCTTTCAGGTAGTTGCAGAGAGCAATAAGGTGCCCCCTGAGCCTCCTTTTCTCCAGGCTGAACACCCCCAGCTCCCTCAGCCTCTCCTCATAAGGAGCTCCAGACCCTTCACCAGCTTTGTTGCCAGTTAAGGGCTGTACTAAAGTCAGGGTAGACACATCCACACCTTTCCCTCATCCACTAGGCAGGTCACCTGGTCATAGGAGATCAGGTTGGTCAAGCAGAACCTGCCTGTCATAAACCCACACTGGTTGAGCCTGAACACCTGGTTAACCTGCACATGCTGTGTGATGGCACTCAAGATGGGTTGCTCCATAACCTGCCCCAGCATCAGGGTCAGGATAATAAGCCTATAGTTCCCTGGATCCTCCTTCCTTTATATGGCAAACATACAAAAGGTTTTTGTTGTTTGTGATTTTGGAAGGGAGCAGATTCTCACTGAAACTGGGTACAAGGTATGAAATAAAGCAATACTCAAACCTTGTGACCAAGAGGCAAAGTTAGGAAGGCATGGAGGAAAAACCAAGAAAGAGGTGTCTAGTGAGGAGAAACAGATTGTTCTTGCAATTCAAAAAGCTTTCAGACTTGCCAGGACTGCAATTAGCTATTTTTCTCCACGTTTTGTTGTGCAGATGATTTGTGGATTTGGACAAGATCACTGTATTAAGGATGATCCTAACTACCAGATGCAGCTTTTGTGGATTTTATATTTGAAGTATTAAACTGTTCCTTAAGGGAAAATTTTATCTAGAACTTGGATACAGGGTTAGTCTGCAGCTGAGCAGTAGTTTAACTTCCTTCAAAATATTCTTTAATCTTATTTAACAAGAATTTAACCCATTTACCTGCAAAGTATTGAGGTTACATTTAGTTATTTATGTCATTACCATATGAATCAGTAGGTTTGGACCTTACCTTCTTTTCACATGCTGAACCAGTATAGCCACTTCTGCAAGCACAGACATTTGGTCTTATGCATCTGCTTCCAAATAAACATTTCTGCTCACAAAGTGCTGCAAATGAAAGATAAAGTTCTTTAGAAATGTGTATATTCTAAGTCTTGTAATTAGAAAGGGAATATTTAGATGCATTGAAAAGTAAAGATGGTTTGTCATAGGTTTTGATATCTATGTGTCTCTTATGTTTAGAATTTTCTTGACTTTTTCCTTTTTTCCCAATGATGGGCAAAGACAAGACTGTGATAATCACTGTGGCTCACTTGGAAATGGGTCAGTACAAGGCCTAACTTTGGAAGACAGGATACATGCTGTGCATTGATGGTTGGGTCAGACCTGTGCCAAAATTGGTTTTCTTCTGTTCCAATTGCAATAAATAACAGCTGTTCAAAGAGCTGATCTTGAGTGGAGATAAACAAGTATGTTAAATATGCTCTCCCAAAGGTGATGATATCACAATAGATACATAGAAGAATCTGGTGAACTGCACATTTACACCTCTTTAACCAGGGTATAAGGACATGTGATTTCATGGTCACACAGAATCAGTAAGGAGCTACTTATCCCAAGGAAAAAGGAATCATAAAAACCTTTATCTTATCTAGAGTACCAATGTATTTATAGAGGTCCACCAATTTGAAGATGTTCTGTTAATAAAAGAATGTGTTATATTTTTTTTCTTTTAAGCTAGAAAAAAAAATCAATTGAATTAATCAAATCTATTTTTTTTCTTTTAAGCTAGGAAAAAAAAAATCAATTGAATTAATCAAATTCCAGTCAGTTTTTCCTCCTCATTAGCAGTTTCTATTGTTATGCCACTGTTTTGGCATAGAGGAAAGAGAACAGCCAATTCATAGGGCAGCAGTACAAGAGGAACACACATGTCACAGTATTTTAATTAGATCTCATGAGTGAAACCTTCTATAAATATTGTCAGAATATTGTATCCTAGTTGCAGGCAGTCAAACTAAATGCCTTCAAAACTGGTCAGATGTGAATCAACAAGTGGATTCTTATATTTTCTTGTGTGGCAGAGGCATCTAGGAAGCTGCCAACCATGCACCATTAAAACAGAGCTGAAAATAAAGTAGACACATGTCTGTGATCCAATGCCATCTCTTTCATCACGGAGCAAAATTTTCCATCAGATTTGAATGAATATGCTGTGTCCTTATGAGGAGTTTTAGCTATGGGACAGGGGAGTGAAGAACCAGTGCCACTCTACACACCTTAAAGAGAGGCTGTACACAGCTTGGCAAAACACTACTCCTACAAGTGGAGTCAGGTAGTGAGGGTTCATTCTATGTCAAAATTACTGACCCATACCATGTCCAGAACAAGAACACGCAGAGACCTGGACGTGCTGGTGACCTTCAGGTGCTCCTTTTTGAAAAGCCATCTGTGTCAGTGGTTATTTGCTGTAGGAGTCCAGTGACCTGGAGCTAGAAACTTGCCTTCCTGGTGTATGACCTAGTTGATGTATTTCTGATGTTTTGAAAAGGTAAACCTGCTATTTTCTTGAAACAAGATTTTAAAGAAGCAAACTTGGTTTTGTTATGTTGCAAAACACACTTTAAGGCCCAGAATGGGCAGTTGCAAACTTCTGAATTTCTCCTCCTTCTGAGAGGTGGAAGCCCAAGTTTGAATCCTGGAATGGATGGAGCACAGAGGAATGAAATGACACTCAAACTAGAACCGTGAGCTCATCATTTGTTGACTGCTGCTCCAGCTCGTCCATGAACTGTGAAAGGACTCAGATTTATAACTGGAAAAATCTTGCAGTTTTCTTCAGTGGAACAAAACCATTTCCCAACAGGGATTGCATTGTCAGCAGCAGGTGCTCCTTGTGCCCATGCCAGTTTTGTTCCACTGCATTGTAAGCAGGAAGAGAGAGAACTGTGTGTGATATTACTGTTATAAAGAACTGTGTACATTACTATTATCCATTTGATATGAACTTGGGCTGGGGAAAAATGGAAGCTGATTCACCTTTCAGCTTGCTAGTGGGTAAAATAAGAACAGGCAAGGCAAAGAGAGGGGAGCTCTTCTTCAGACTCCTATAGCAACCAAGGGTGTTCTGGTATGCATGGATAGAACAGGCATTAGATAAGTCTTAGGCTTTTTTTTCTGTCTGTGGTTTGCCTGATTCTCAGTGGATGCAAACAAAGTATTAAAAAAAAAGGAAAATATTTCTTCCTTTTTCTCATTCCTTGCTACCTGCCTGTCTCTCCCTGTCCACCCACTGCTTCTTCCTGTAGTGCTCCGAAAATCAAGAGCTCGGATAAGAAAAAAGTGAAAAATATTTTGGAGGAAAATTGGAATTGACATCACAGAGGATAATAACATAGCTGAAGTTCAAATGAATATTTCATAAATGTATTTACAAGGGATGCTAAGCCACTAAACACTAAAAATGACACCGGCTACGTATGCATTATCCTGTACAGATTCAGCAAAGTCATTTAACAAGCTAAGCTTATGTTAAAATTATAATCAATAAATGCCAATTAAAGAAAGAGATTTATCCCTGCATGTTAAAAGAACAGAGCTATAATTTGCATGCGAACTACGTCCTTTTCAGAAGAATTTTCTTTTTTTTTTATAATTTGCATGCAAACTACATCCTTTTCAGAAGAATTTTCTTTTTTTTAAGGTTTGAAAGGGTTACATAGGAAAGCCAGAAGAAAGCCTGCCTGAGATGTTGTGCAGGGCAGAGAGAGAGAACAGGGAAGAATATTGAGGAAATTATAAGGCTATAAGCTTGACACTTATAACATGCAAATAAAGAGAAGATATTCTGAAGGGCAATGAGGAGCCAGTATGGGTTCAATAATATTAGAACAGAAGATAGCAGCATGAATTTTAATGATGAAGATCCTTCACCACTATAACCTTCTTATACTTTATAATTAATTATTAGAATTATACCTTGATCCTGCATTCAGAGCCTTAAACAACAGGCTTATACTCCTGGCCAGAACCTTTCTGACTTAACTGGGTTGTGTTTTGGCTGTATCTGTTGGGGTAATCAGATTACACTGTCACTTCTCGTGTTCACTTCTATGGTCTAATGTTTCTTTCCTAGCTCAGGAAAGAGAGATGTGAGTTATCACCATGGGAGGCAAGGGGAACCACAAGCATGGAGCTTTATACTGGGTATCTAGTATGGAATGGGAAGGAATTCACTGATGGAAAAACATGGTGACCCTGGGATACTGTTTCTCAGTTTCCAGAAAGGGAATTTTTTTTTATATTTTTGCTGCTATCATGAAAGCAAAAAACTCAGTCAGATAGAAAAAAACTTCTGAAGAAGCCTAATGTGCAAAGCTGTTTGTTTCTATAGTTGAGAAGTGATAAATATTTCAAATTACCTTTTTTAACCTGTCTTTCCAAAAGGTAGTTTCCC